CTAACCAACTGCACCTTCTAAAATCACCTTTACTGCTGGGAAAAGCTCATAATAAACTGATTGCTTCTTATCAAGATAGGCTAAACTAAACCTACAAGCACGTGTTAAACGTGTTAAATCTCACCCAGCACATCCAGAGCTGTGTGTTAAAGCTGCAAACAGAAGGGTAACACTGCAGCTTTACCTTTAATATGCACACAAGCTGATATATTTCTGTTTAGACCAAAGGATCCCGCTTTATTTGACGGTGAGTGAGCTCAGACACCATTTAGTGGAAATAACCTGAAGCATTTTGAAGTTGCTGGTGTCTGTGCCTGTATTGGCCACCAGGGGGCAGTCATGCTGTTTGAAGATCAAATGATATTTACAGCAGCAACCTGCACATGAATTTACACGTTAATGAAAGTAATCACAATAAAAACTGCAGCTGTAAGGCTCTCGGCTCTTGAATGAGTGCACAATACGCGAGCGTGCTAATGTGTGACTGCGTCTCCGTGCGCTCCACAGATGGAAATCTCAGGCTGACATGTGTGGGTTCTTATCTCTGCGATGTTATATTGGCGTGACCCACCGCTAAGATCTTGTCCCCGATCTGCAGACGCCCGTCTTTATGAGCCGCCCCGCCTTCGATGATCTTGGTGACGTAGATGCTGTTATCTCCTGGTATGTGCTGGTTTCCCACCCCTCCAGCAATGCTGAACCCTAATCCTGAGAGAGAGAGGCAAAGATTTGCTTAATCCAGAGGCACAGCTCAGTCGAGCGAGTCCACACAAAAGCCCGGACGCTGTAAACCACCAGGCCGTAGTTTCATACCTTTAGGCCCTTTGATGAGTTTGATTTCAGTGACTTTTTCTGCTGCTGGTTTTCTGCGGAGAACGTAGAGGCGGACAATAGCACCTGCCTCCTTCAGGGCCTCCACGGCCTGGCTGTGCGTCACCTCCCTCACATCCACATCATTCACAAACAGGATGCAGTCGTTCACGCTGAGGGGTGGAAAGAGCGAGAGAAGGAGAGAGACTGTGGGTGGGAAAGTGAAAATTCGGCATGAGTCGTTGTTTTCGGTGAAGATACGAGGTGTAACCCTCCACAAGTGAGAGTCGGAAGCGTGGTATTTAAATTTACGAAAAGGGTAGAGCTTCTTCTTCGAGCTGCTTTAATCCTAAAAACACCAAAGAGCTTCTTTCTGTTAGCAGCTTGAGAAAATGGTGATTATAGCTGACGCACACTGTCCGAATATGTTTTTTTTCATGAGCCGACGAGTTTGTAGCTTTTTGCTCACGAGGATTTTATCAAACAACACTTCGACCCGCTGAATGAAATCTTATTATTATCCAAGTGTGACGTCTCAGTGAGCTTTTGTTCTGATTTTCAAGGAATAAATGATCAAAGTTATTAAAGCATTTAGCGCAGAGCATCAGGTGTGAGCAGGATTTTTAACGTATTTATTCTAAAACATGAGGAGTTGTGAATTTCAGAGTGTTTAGCTCAAGCTGTTTGAGATGTGCGGCTTGTTGGAGGCTAAAAGTGGCTAAAAAAAACGAAGCATTTAGGACAATTCAAGCATTTTCTGCCATAATCAGTCTTTCCAGATGGATGTTTTTAGGTCAGCTGTGTGTAGCTGAGCCTCTGTGAGTCTTGTTTACTCCATTATTATCAGTGAAACTGGATATAAATAACCTCGTTTTATTCCAAAAGACAAGCGTCACTGTGTCAGAGAAAATGAAGTTTGTTTTTATGGCAAACACTGATTCTTTCCTCAACTTGTAGAGGATGTGATTATTTGGAGAAACCTTCTCGGCACGTTGGTTTGCTTTTCATTTTCTTTTACCTCAGCCGTCCGTCCTGAGCCGCGGCTCCTCCCGGGATGATTTTGGTGATGAAGATGCTGGGGTCGTCGCCCACGTGGGGGTTGTCTGTCCCCCCGGCTATGCTGAAGCCCAGGCCCGAGTTGCCCTGCAGCAGCCGAACCAAACGCAGTTATTATTTATTCCGTCTGGGACATGTGATGGCACCGTTTAAAACACGATTCATAATTTATAGCGCATAAATCAGTTTGAAAAGCGGAAAGGTCACATTTTGAAACTTACTCTCTCCAGTGTGATTTCCTCGTACTCGATTTCTCCTTCTGTCCCATTGACCTGCCAGGGGAACAAGTTAGCGGAGACACTGCTGTTAAAAAACACAACTTATTTAGCCTGTATTCTGGGCTTAATCGTCAGAAGATTGATTAAGGCAGCAACATGATTTCAGCATAATTTGACTCGTGAAATAAACAGCTCAACTAAAAATACCACCCCCACCTCTGCAGGTAAGAAAATCCCGAAGGAAGAAGCAACTTAAGGAACTCCAAACTTCACCGTTTCAGTTTCTGACCCAGAAAACAAACTCTTCTTGTTGTTGTAGCTGTTTAAAACGAGCTGGGTTTCAGTGCAAAGCCTCATTCTCTCATCCCAAAAACGATAATAACTTACTGGCTCAAAATTTAGAAACTGCCTCGTTAGGAACCTGTGAATCATGCAGTTAGACGTCAAACTGAAAAACTAAATTAACTCGCTGAAAAACAGCTGAAATTAGCTAAAAATAAATGCTGAAATGTAGCTGAAATGGAAGAACAAGCCTAAATTAGCAGATGAAAGAACATATATTTGCTGAATTTAGTTTAAATAAGCATAAATGGGAACAAATCAGGGAATTAGATTTAAAATACCTGGCAAAAAAGGTTGAAATTAGATATAAAAAAATGGCTGAAAAGGCAGAAAGAAGCTTAAACTAGCAGAAGGAAGCAGAAAGAGCTGAAATGAGTTAAAATGTGTAATTAGCTGAAAAAGCTAAAATTAGTATAAAACAAATATTAGCTAAAAAAGCTCAAATTAGCATAAAACAAATATTAGCTGAAATAGCAGAAAAAAAACTGAAACTACCAGACAAAAGCTGAAAAGACCATAACAAGCTGAAATTAACATAAAGAAGTTAATTAGGTTGAAAGAGACAGAAATTAACATGAAAAACTTGAATTTATCTGAAAACAGCTGAAAGTAGCTAAAATTCTAAACAGCTAAAAAGTTATAACAAGCTTACATTAGCAGAAGAAAGCAGAAAGAACATGTTTGCCTAATTAGGCTGAAAAAAGCAGAAATGAGCACAAAAAAGGGGAAATGATCTGAAAAAAGCTGAAATGAGCAAAAAACATCTGAATTTTTATTATTAATTCATTTTATTAACGTTTATTTAAACAGGCAAATCCCATTGAGATCACAGATCTCTTTTGCAAGGGAGGCCTGGGCCTAAAAAAGCAGAAAAATGCTTAAATTACCAGAAGGAAGAGGAGAGAGCATGGTTTTGCTGATTTTGGCTGAAAAAAGTTGAAAAGAGTGCAAAAAATGTGGAATTAGCAGAAAAAAAGCTAAAATTAGCACAAAACAGCTACAGTAGCTGAAATAGCAGAAAAAGCTGAAACGTGCAAAAATGAACTGAAAGGAGCATACCAAGGTGAAATTAGCAGAAACAAGTTAGACGAAGCACAAAAATGTTGTAGTTAGCAGAAAGAATAATACATGAGCACAAACGGAATAAATTAACTGAAAGTAGCTGAAAAAAAAAGTTTAAATTTACACAAGGAAGCTGAAAGAAGCTGAACCAGAACAAAAAGCGACAGGAACAGTAAAAGGTTGTAAACACATCTAAAGATTTGAAGGAGGTAAAATGAGCTCAATTCTTTTTCCATGAGACAAAAAGTTGCAGAAAAGGCTGAATATTTAAAAAAGCTAAAGTTGCACCAATACAAACCCTTCTCCTGAACGAGCTGAACATTTTGATATATTATTTGTTGAAAAAGCACAAAAACTGGAACGAGAGTGATGACGAAACAGTGTGAATGCTTCATAAAATTAAAGAAGGGGAGTTAAAGAGTATTCTTACGTATGGCGAGCCGTCGAGTGTGTCAGTGTTCACCACCACAGGAGGAGTATTTCCCTGCAGGCAGAGGGAGAAGAGGCATTAATGACAGAAACTCAGAGATGGAGCTGAAAGCTGCAGTCACAGCCGGGACCGATGGCCATTTTCTGCTCTTCACGGTGATAGCAGAGTCCTCGTTCTGCTGCAGTTGTCACCCTGGTAGAGAATAAAAAGCACCTCTTCACAGCCATTTGTTAATACTCATCTGTAACGAGCAGCAAAATAACATGGGCCTTTTTCAGACGTGGTTTCTTAACGACTGCTTTATTTTGCTGTAGCTACCAGCCTAATTAGGTTAGAGCTTGTATTTGGTGATGCTGTGAAAGGGCAGCTCACAAAGACTGGATGCAAACCTCCAGCTCAGCAGTGATTTCAAAACCTCTGAGTAAATTATATTCTGCCACGCTGACAGCAAATGGTGGCAAGGGCCCAACACACTGCAAGGATGATGAGGACACACTCGTAACGAGACGGTGACAGGGCTGCATTGTTAGCTCAGTGATTCTCAGGGAGTGTAACGACTGCTCACATCACGCTCATTTATTCTCAGACCTTGTCCTGAACTAACGTTACACCCAATATCATTTTTGCAAAGTGAAAGGACAGACTGAATATCAAGAAGATTTAATCAAACTAATTATTAGGAGGAAAAAAATGGTAAAAACTACTTGTTCATGTTTAATGGCCAAGCCGCCATCTTTAGCTCATCTGAAAGGTAAAGACGGGGTTGTCCAAGATGTCTCCTCTAGATGTTTCTTAGCCTCGCAGGTTGAAAATGTGAAAAAAAAACAACCCGTGTTTCAGAGCGCTCGGCTTGTTAAAGATACTGATGACAGGAACCGAAACATTTCCAAGCAAACAAATGAAAGCAACGTGACGAAAAAAAAAAATTGCTTTAAACAGATAGTTTGGATTTTCAAATGTTGGGTTCAGTGGAAAGATTATGAAAAATAAACATCTTACATGTAGTAGATAGCCCTTAAAATGGTTCAGAGTTTGGAGAAAAAGAGTTGAATCCAGACTAGAGTTGCATTCGGGTCCCAAAAAATCAGACCTGACCTGGTCCCAGCCCGTAGCCATTATTTCTGAACCCCACCCGATCCGATGAATTAACAGTAACTACAGGTCCGAACCCGAAAAAAACAGACATTTTTAACCTCCTAGGACCTGGCATCCACATATGTGGACATCCACTTATGCAAGAATTCGGGTCTTAGGAGGTTAATTAAGCTTCGACTGCTGGATGGTGGACGTGCACGGCTGAATAAAGGGGGCAGAAGATTGGAGCTGAGGGGGTGTTTGTCCTTTCATGGTGGTCAAAGAGCATTAAATGCTTCCCCTGCTTCTGTCTGCATTCTGCATTATTCAAACATGGACCCTACTCTGGCATGCCGGATATTTTGTGATCTCACCTGTTTGGGTCGGCGGCCGAGCGCGTCCGCTGAGTGCAGCGGCTGAACGAATGTTCATTTGGGCAATGGATCGCTGGCAGTCCATCTGAAGCTTAACTGAACTTTTCACCTCTTAAGGCCGGTCAGCACACGGTCAAATGGCCGCGTGTGGCAGGTGATAGTATGGCCCAGGCCCAGGCCTCCCTTGTAAAAGAGATCTGTGATCTCAATGGGATTTGCCTGGTTAAATAAAGATCAATAAATTAAGATCAATAAATGGCAAGCTATGTTACCATATATTGGATCATCAGCCGCGTGCGTCCACTGAGGCAATCAAAAGCCCAACACCAACCCAGCCCGCGCATTAAGCACATTATTATGGACTGGCCGGGTCCGAATTCGGGTTAGAAATGACAGCTCTAATCCAGACCGGATTGACAAGCTAACAGCTAATGGCTAATCTGAGCAAGGTGAAGACCAAAATGGATTGCTTCAATTGTAAAACAACCAAATCGGTAACTTTTTAAAGATATTAAGGTGAATGCTTTGGAACACTGTTATCAGTTTCAGATTATACAGCTGTTCTGACAAAAATAATACAAAGCCCTAACTTGAAGTGGCTGCACTAAAAGTGCTACAGTTAGCTTTATGCTAGTCTTCAATGACAGAATAGAAATCCAACTGTTTTTTTTGTTGTTGTTTTTGGTTTACAATTAGATCCAGTTAACAGTAATGGCACTTACAAAACCCTCAGAATTCCTAGTTAATAACTAAATTTAGCAAAACTAACAGCAGTGTACAGGTTTATACAATGCCAAATGTATGAATCGCTATGAAATCTTTGAGACTTGAGTTGTTTTCAAATGGCAATAATCCACTTTGGTCTTGGCTTCATATGAACAAGTCATTAGCTCATCAGTGTGGTCAAAGTTAAACTCTATTTCTACAGTTGTTGCCAACTCCTCAGCAAAGAATGTAACTTTTGGCTGTCCCAAAAGTGGCTAAAAGTCAATCATTTCCATAACTGGCCATGGGCCAATTGTAATGGATGCTGTAGAAGAGGAATTAAATTAAAGGAGTGAGAAAAAAAAGTGTGGCTCTCAGTGGATTATTGTATTTTTACGTCACAATTTCAGCCTTCCTTCATTATCTGGGTTTGGGACAGCCAAAAAAGACACTTGGGAGTTATTTTAGTGCAATGATTAATTTTAGACAAAGCATTGTTACATTTGTGGATGGACAATTGATTTACAGACCACACGAGGTTAGGGGAACATCTTCTGCACTGACTGCACCAGGGATGGATGCTGATCGGCCCGGTCCACATGTGAGTGCTTTAAGATGGGGCAGGGGCTCAAGGAAGGACCTGCTGCTCAATGACAAAACTAAGAACAACAAGTGTTTTCACGTTGGTACCTCAAAATGACTGCAACACCAGAAAAAGTTCCAATAATGGTCAGTCAGGTCATCTGGACAGTTTCTTTTTTGTGTAAAGACGTTTCGCCCTCTATCCAGAGGGCTGAGGAGTCCCAAGTGAACTGTTTTCCCCACTAAGCAGTACGCTCCTTTAGTGGACCAACCAGTTTGCTGGTGATAAGTTGAGGGCGGAACGTCTTTCCTCAAAAAGAAACTGTCCAGATGACCTGACTGAATGAGCATGAACTTTGATAACCAGAAAAAGTTATTGCATTTGTCACTAGAGGGGTCTGTATACTTACTAAACAAAGCAACAGTGTTGCTAAGTTGGCAACACAGATTTTCCGCCTGCTTCAAATATTATCAGGCATTAAATGGCCATTATTACTTGTTATCATCCCCATATGTAGCGACCAGACTGCCCCTACTGTACCTCCTAGTGGATTTAAAGGTGTATTGTTAGCGCTCATAATAGGCTTACGTGGTTAGGATCAGAGTAAAGGGTCTGGTAGTTAGGTTTAGGGTCTTGGTTAGGTTTAGGCACAAGGATAAGGGGGTTAAGTTTAGGAAAAAGCTTACATAAGCTGAAAAAAAACCCACTTCCTGGTTTACCCCCGAGCGATGCTTCCTATTATCAGCAATAATAACCATAATAATGTACCTTTAAACCTACTAGGAGGTAGTCAGGACAGTCTGACTGCTACATATGGGGATGACAACAACTAATAACTGCCATTTAATGGGCTGATAACGTCCACAGCCACTTGATTTCCCCAAATTCAGACCATTTAAAAACCTGTCTACAACAGGTAAGATGTTAATTGTTAGTAAACTTTTCCACCAAACCCATTTCACAAGACCTGAATTATCATTTTAACTTCTAAGCACAGGCCTTGGACACTTGTTTAATTTAAGTTTGCTATATTCCGTTTCCTTTCTTTTTAGGATTTACTCTCATCATCAGCGTAACTAACGCAGGGAGTTTGAAATACACTGATCCAATCGGTACTTTGCTGAACGGAAAACTCCAGCTGCTCCTCTCCACTCTGTTTAATATGAAAGACACTGCAGCTAAAGCGCTGACAGCAGCAAAGAGCGGCGTCTGAATTCAGGCTGGAGCCCGTCACAGACCTGACAGCTCTGACACACAAACAGCTAACACGGACACGCTCCTGCTCCTGTAGTCATCTTTAATGAAATGGTGAATTGTAACTCTGCCTAATGCATGTTTTACTGTACACGTTTACTTTTTGTAGAGTATTTCAAACCTGCAGTTCTGTTCGGTCGGATAGGAAGACTGGTAAATTGAAACATGAAATAAAAGCAGCTGACAGTGGTCAAAATGGATTTAATACCCCGTATTTACAAGATCTGGCATGGATCAAAGAAAAGACACATTTATCATGTGTAGATTAGAGATTTAAAATATAAAGTTGATCTTTAAATTCTCACTGTCTCTTATTTATTCTAGACAAAAGAATCAGGATGTTTGCATCATGCTTGACAATTTATGTCTCTGATTGGCTGCAGCATCAGTGAAGTTCACACTCGTCAGGGCATGAAGAGCTATTCATTTTAAATAATTTCAGAGTGAAATCAAGAATCCGGTGCACAAATTATTATTATCTTTTTAGATTTTCTCTAAAAACAAAACAAAATAAAAAGTAAAACAAGCGGTAAGCCAATGACTCCCATCGTCGCTGAGGGATTTGATGTTTGTAGTTTCCAAGATGGGTGTTTTTCTGGACTGGAAATGCAAATAACCCTGAATGTCTTTGGTGCAAAATATTCAAGTGGGTAGGAGCTACACTGTGGAGAAAAGAGGCAGTTTTCTTTTATATTTTATTTTTTTCTTGCCTGAGGCAGCGCAAAGTGACAGATCCTGCTAGTGGATGGGGCAGTTTTATGCACCACCAGATGCAATGGAGGAGCCAGGGGGGCTAATGGTGGCCTTGGCCACTATAGATAAATCTTGGGCCACCCCAATCATTTGAGGAAACTATACTGTTTAGAAATATACAAACTATAAATTATTGAAATGACTGGGGTGGCTGGTTTTACATGCACACACACAGGCACACGTATATCGTTGTGCTTTTGCCTTCTGGTGCGATGGAGGTGTGTTGGTACGTGAAGGTACACCACAAAGAAAACGATTTATTTCATGAACTTTACTTCCTGGTTAGTTACAATGGCAGCTGAGTTGTTCTG